CTGAGTATATGGGTACACGAAGATGATATGAATTCAAAAATCATAAGTAAAACATGTACCTGATTGATCTTAAAAAAGAAAGAAAAAAGGTCTCTGGCATTCATCGGTGATTCATTCAAATATACAATATATGCATTACTTTAAGTTTGTTACTAAAGATTTTCATCATCTGAAATTTCTTTTATTCTGTGTTCCCGATAATAGTCATAGACAATGGAGGAACTAATAGTATATCATAATAAATAAATATACTAGAATTTGAAACAAAGCTGTCCCATTTGCTACAAATCTGACAGTCCCAAACATATACTAAGATGTATAATATTTCAAAACTTTGATATCTAAAAAGTTATATTGTTTCATACAGCTCCTTAAACTGCTGAGAAAGGCTAGTGGTGTGACATAGGCATGAAGTTTACCTACTCACAACGGGAGCTCCTGGCGCCATACCAAACCAAGTATCAGGCTGAGTGCATAATTAGCTGCGTAAGGGAAAAATATGAAGCACTGATAACATCAATTTACGCTGCTCTCTATGCTCTTGCCTGTAGCATTTAGGTAATAAGGCTAAACAGACGCTTTAATTCTATGTTTGAGTGGCTATTTCTCCTCAACGATGGCGGCTGTGTACTGTTTAGTATGCACAACTTAGAACAGGCTCGACGGTGCGTGACAAACAGGATGTTATCCCAGAGTAAGTGACAGTCTAGCCATATGACAGGAAATCAACCGTCATGAGTGGGTTAACCATTTCCTTTGCATCACACATCAAATTAGGCTCACAAATAGGTTTAACAGATTGTAAAACCTGAACCCCAGCTGCTAACACAATGACTTCAGAGTAACCGGAAACAGAAGCGAGAATTTCCTTACCTTCTTCCCAAGAATCTCTCCCTTGTGTTCAAGCTGGTTTATCTCTTCGCGATCTTTGGTTATTTGGGTTTGAAGATTTCGAATCCTTGCCATCTTGGCCTTCAGTTTGTTGGCTTTGTCCTGGGGATAACATCACAACTTTAAAAAAAGGAATATCAATGAAACACTCATTTGAGAAAATATAAAGCATGCAAGCCTCATTTCATCATGGAACTTGATCTGAGAAGCAATAGAGATTTGCAAAAGATCCTGGATAATCTACTCCCAACGCCGCCTTGCCTCCTATTTGCCTGTCAGCCTATTCCATGACCTCTCAACAAATAGCTGCCAAAGTCAAAGACGTAAATGAGTCCACTAGAAAAAATAACATAGTCTTACTTACCAGACAAATTATGATTATGCTGTATTCTGTGTGGCTAATATGCATAGAATGGCTAGAGGAATTAAGACTTTGGGAACTAACGGATCGATATGATGAATTAGTTTAGCTTGAGATAACCATTTCAAGAAACACTTTGCTTGTCCTCCAATTTAAAAATCAATTCTTATTCCACTTCAACTGGAAAGATCTATTTTGCAAGCCTTGCCTCGAGCTGCGTCTCCATTTGGCCCAGCTTTTCCCGTAACTTGGTGATAGTCGACTTTAAGGACTGCCGTTGTCTCTCTTCTTCTGTTGCCTCGTGAACTAGGGAAGCCAGCTGTGATATCACTTCATTCATAGCAATCCTGTACGATGGAGGTTAAATAGCTAAATATTACTCATGTCACTACAAAAAAAAATATCTTCAAATTATCAAATAATCAGGTTTATGCTCAAAACAGAGTTATATAACCACTCAAAACAGACAGAAAAAGTTAACTGGAGCTATTCGGTGAATGTTTATTTTCAAAATAATAGTCAAAATCAAATTCAAATATAAACACTTGATATTTCCTCTACTCAGTCTTTTATAAAGCAAAAAAAAAAAAAAAAAAAAACACAAAAAAGAAAGAAAGAAAGAATAATATTCTGTTTTTGTGTTGCTAATAAATGACTGTAATTACATTTATAAAACTTTTGTCACACATCAAAACTCCCATACGAGGCAAAATTACCTTTTTTGTGTGTATTCATGTTCCACTCTCTTCAGTAACAGTAACCTCTTAGTCCTTATTGGTTTTCTCGTCACATTTGCTACATCACTTAAACTACTTGATTTGGAAGCGTTTCCAACTGCATTACCTATTTGTCTTTGTAAAGCTGTCGGCAAAGTGTTCAGGGTTCTAATGGCACTTATTTGTTTAACAGAATTATTTACAGATGTGCTACATACAGAAGCCCCTTTTAAGGTTTTTGTACTTTCAGATACCAATAAAGTATCTTTTTCTAACAGCTCACTTTTTCCTACTTTTTCAGACAAGTGTTCAAGATTTTTCTTCCCCTCCGCATGTATCTTTACTTGCTTTTCAATGGTTTGGAAATTTGAGGTGTCCTCACTAGTCATACTATTATGGGTTTTCATTTCTGTTCCTGCGCTGGCCTCTGCATTCTCTTTCCTATCGGTAGATTCACTGTCATGATCACCACTGACACATGATTTTCCAACAGGACTTATCTGATCCTCTTTGCAAGCTGATAAACTACCGTTATCCACATCTTGTGAGTTGTCTGCAACCACAACTTCCGTCCGTTTTTCCTCAGTTTCGCTGCTGGAATGTTCTTGAGTTGTAAAAGGTACAATACTATCTACAGGTTTATCTACAGATTTAGAAGATGTCTTTGACACTTTAATTGGCACTAGCTGAGTATCTTTACCTTTGTACCTTTCATCACCTTTACCATTTTCTAATACTTCTTTACCAATACCATCAGCTTCCTCCACTTCATTCTTTCCAGTATCCTTCGTCTCACTGCTATGACTTTGCTCAATCTCTTTTTCTCTTGTCTCTTCTATTTCCTCATTCAAATTTCTGTTATATTCACCTTGAGCATGATCCGCAGGAGTTTGATTTTCTACTTTAGTATTTTCAGATTCTGTTACATGGCTGAAATTGTTATACTCACTTTCATCTTTTACCTCTTGCACTAAACATTCAGTTTCATTTGTTCTAGAAACGCTTTCACTTGCCGGACCTTCAGTCTCCTTACAATCTAAAGCAGACAAAGTATCTCCCTCATCAATTAGCAGTTTCTTGTCTTTGTTTCCATGTTCCTCCTTTACCACTGCCAACTCTTCACTGTTGGCATTTTCTCCATTACCTTCACCAATATCATCCAACACCTCATCAAGAACCATCCACTCCCCACCATTTACATCTTCCTGATGTACATCTTTGCTATTTTCTGGCAAATCAGTCTGGTTTTCAATGAGAACACTGCGAGCTGCCACTTCTACTGCCTTTTCCATTGTTTCCTTCTCCTCAGTTGGCACATCGTCTATCTTCTGACGTATGACAACCTTCAGTGTTTCTGAATTTGATGACGCATATGACCCATCATTCTTTTCACTTTTACTATCAGCATCTACACTTTCACAATTTTCTTCATCATTTGATTTTGCTTTGTCAATTACTTTTTTCTGGAGCGTTTTAAGTACCATCAGCCTAAGCATTTCTTCATCTTCATCCTCAACTGGAGAACCTTCACATGAAAAACCTGTTTCTCTCCTCACCTCCGAACTTTTCTCAGTGCTAGACCCACCTTGGCAACCTTCATCTGCACTTATTGTATTGCTTCCTAAATCTTTATCTCTACTGAGATTTGCAAGCTGTATCTGCAAACCACCTGCTTCCTTGAAAATCACTTCCCGTGTGTCTTGCAAAACTGAATGTGACGGTGGTGGGGTCTCCCCCTGAGTCTGGAGGTTACCCCCATTATCTCCTTGGTCACAATATTCCTCTTCTGTCCTAGAGGGAGTCTGACTTTTAACCTGTGGAATGTTTACTGATGGTAGGTCTCGTGCTGCCCCTCCATCACTCATTTCCCCTCCATTGTCCCCTGACTGAGGGCTCTCAGGAGAAATTCTTGCCGCAGAGGACACTTTCTTCTGGAATACTTTCTGCCGTAGAAGCAGTTCCTGTCGCTTCTTCTGAAGCATTTCCTTTTCTCTGAGCTGTTCCTTTAGCCTACGATATTCAACCTGTTGTGTTCTACTAAGATGACGCACCACCTGTAGGTTTTAACAAAGTATTTAAATGGCTTATTTGGGCAATTCAGTTAGTGAAAACATATTACTACAGAAATCAACATACTTTTATAAAACAAGGGCAAGATTATGTATGTTATTGTATCACTATGCACTAATTCCCTATCAATTCTTCATTCCTCATTATCATACTTTCAAATCAATATGGCACATCTCTACAACTCAGAATTACCACAATCAACTCATCAGAACGTACAGATGTAAAGGTTTATATATCATTACCAGATGACAAAGACACTAAACAGATAAATACTTACATTTGGAGTGCTGTACAACTGAGGAGCTTTTCGTGCTGGGGTTCTCTTTGCGAGGGCTACTCCTTTTTTCACTTGTGTGCTTCCTTTGGCTTCCTTCTCGGGCTTGTTGGCATTCCTCATACTTTTCAGCAAAAGATCTATGCTTGAGCTTAAGACACCATCACCTTCACCACTTCCTGAAGGTTGTGGCTCATCGGTGGCTCTATCCTGACAGCTCTCCCCACCATCTTCATTCTCATCATCTGAATCGGATTCCAAGTTGATAATAACAGGCTTGATGTTGGGAAACTTAAACTTGGGTGTGTCTTTCTGGCTGTGATTGTCTTTTGGAATGAGATAATCATATCTACTGCTCTTTGGATCTAAGCCAAAGCCTCCTATGTCAGACAAGCCGTGTCTCAGGTTGACCTTCACTTTATGTGTTGGGCTATTTTCTCTAAACCTTGCCTGAAGTTGATGCATCTTCACAACAGCTGTCTTGCTCACTGGTCTCAACCTTGGGGAAGACTCCAATGATGAGGGGTAGCTCAGAGGCGGTGTGCTTTCGTGGCCCATGTAGCCTGAAGAATGAGAATCGAACCTATCCTGATGGACGGCTTGGATGTTATCTACAGTCAATGCTTGATAATCAGAAAGACATGATTTTGGGGGTTCTACCACAGGTTCTATCTGTTTTTGGTTCTTCTTTCGAGAAAGGTCAATTAAAAGCTGTGCCCTTAGGAGGTCTTCATCTTCATCTTCAGAAACACTTGGCACTGAATCAAGTCCTGGTTGGAGATCGATTTGAACAATGGATTCCTTCCCCTTTGCCGATTTTTCTTGTGCCTTCAACTGTTTGAGATGCTTCATTTTTTCTTTCTGTCTTTCTCGTTTTCTCCTTCTAGCTCTTGATCTCTTGTTCACTTGGAGCACAGCTCCACCACTGGTACCAGCACCTGAAGGAGCATTTTTCACAGCCTCACTCTGGCTATTGGATGAATTGCCATATTTGATTAACTGCACTTCGATTAAGTTTCTTTGTGTGCCGCTGTTCTTCTGCTGAGTCTTCTGCTGGTTAAGCACTACAGACATGAAGGCTTGGTACTGTTCTGCTGGATGATCTTTTAAATCCTCCTGTGGGCTGCTATCTGGCTTTGGTTCTTCTTTTTCTGGTGTGAGTGTTTTACTGGTTGTATACTCAGGAGAAGCTGGTGTTTCAGTATTCTCTTGGATGATTTCTGTCTGTTCAGATACGTTCTCATAATTCTCTGGCCTTGATTCATTCCACTGTGCAGGTTGCTGAGCCTGTACTCCCCAGTCGGAAGTGGGAGTTCCATATGAATTGTACTGCTGATACTGCTCATTTGAATCATAGGAAGACTGCATGGTCTGGAGGTACATGTTCTGGTCATAGCACCAATTATTGATGTTACTAATATCATTGGGTGGCTGGTCAGGTGGGGGAGGAGGTGGCATCATGTAGGCCCATTCCACTGGGATTTGGAAATTACTATTATTGTTGTTATTACTACTACTTTTGGTGCTGTTGCTACTGTTATGAAGAAAACTTTCCTGTCCTCCTGGATCTAGGACAGGTACTGGATAATTCTTTGCTTGCGAGCCTATATTAGGAGCAGTTGATGGGTCAGGGGAAGACACCTTATCCAAAGAAATGTCTTCTCCTATATCTTTCAAGATGTCTTCATCAAAGAAACTTTCATCTTCCTCACTTGGAGAACTATCACATATATCCATATCAACAGGATCCTGATTAGAGTCGGCAAGATCCTTAATTTCTCTTTGCAGCTGTTCTTCAATATTCGTGGCAAGCTGTCTTGTATTGTCTTCATCATCCAGGTAACTTCTATTTGTTGATATGGCATCCAATTCCAACTCTAGTCCAGTGATGCTTGAACCTGGCTGCGATCTCGTTGAGCTCTGACTTAAGTCATCCAATATAAGGTCTACCTCATCATCCTTGGGGGTGCTTTCTTCTAATCTCGTATCAAAATTCTGATTGCTTTTCAAGGGTGCTGAGCTTTCTGTATCAGATTGCAAGAGCACATGATGATCTGATAACTGATTCTGAAAATCACCAATATTTTCACTATTTCTCTGATCGGGAAGGTCACTAGGTGCTGCTTCCTTCCCTTCCTCTTCCTTTTCCACTGGCTGTTCTATGCTGTCTTGAGGCAAAGACAATGGGAGATCAACAATCATATTCCCAATGTTCATGGACTGGCAACCTTCTCTCCTTACATCACTCAGAACCTTCAAAGAGGACTGAAGGGCAATTAATCTTAGCTGAAGTTCATCTTCATCTTCTTGATCTAATGTGTCACAGTCCTGCTGTAACACTTCACTTATTTCAGATACTTCTTCTTTCTTACTATCCCCAGCCTCTCCTGAAGTTTCTCCTTTCTCTACAGCTTTGTTAGCTGGTGGGCAAACCTTTAGTTTACCTTTCAGTGTCTTTTTCAAGAGCATTTCTCCAAAACTACCTCTTGGAAGCTGTTTTTGGCTTGTTATGAGGGGAACTTCAGTTGCATTTCCTTTGGGTGAAGTATCATCTTTGGCTCTTGGTGATTTGTCACATTTCTCTTCAGAGTCATCATCACTGATTTTTACAATACTCTCCTTTGATTTACTTTTGTTGGTTTTGTGGTGGCTTGCTTTTACTTCAGTTTTTCTACTAGATGAGGTAGAGAGAGTATGGCGCATGTAGGGGCGAGGTGATTTCCTGCCATTTCCCCATGACTTTGAGATTTTGCTTGCAGCTTCAACAGGGGAGGATGCTCTTGTGCTCTCTTTACCCTGGCTGACTGGTGGTGCCCATGGAGGCGACTTCTTGGATGGCCACTTTTCTGAAGACTTTTTATAAGCCAATTTTTTCTTGGTGGAACTGAAACTTTGCTCAGAAGGCGATCTTGAGCGTGCTCTGCTGGCTGTTCCAGATCGTTTATTCTCTTTTCCTGAAAGTGAGGGGGAAAATAAAGAGAATAATTACTTTTCTTTACTTTTTCCTTTTGTTTAACATGCAATGAAATTCTTTTCATCTTGGATAAAGGTAAACATATCAAAGCATTCTCAATATACAGAAGTTGTATCAAAGATGCTATCAGTGAAATACTCGCTCACACAAAAGAGAAAGTTGTCAGATGCTAACCTGATCATCATACTATGCTATGTATACGTACATTCACAGA